TCTTTTGCACTCTAAAGAAACACTATCCAAAATAAAATATTGGGGCTGCCATTGATGGCTTCTCTAACTGAAATTAATGGTTGCCCATCTCATTCTCATCCAGGGGCTTCATTACTTACCAAAGCATGATGGAGGGTTGAAATCTGCCTCTTTTGCACTGTAAAGAAACACTATCCAAAATAAAATATCGGGGCTGCCATTGATGGCCTCTCCGGCTGAAATTAATGGTTGCCCATCTCATTCTCATCCAGGGGCTTCATGACTTACCAAAGTATGGAGGTATACTGTATGGCCATAAGGTTGTGGATGCCTGACCATAACAAGCTTCTTGGATGCACCATTTCCAAAACCATGGCAATAAAGTAGAGTTCACCCCTAATTTAAATGTTACAACAGACTCCACCCTTGTGGGAAGGCTTTCCACAAGACTTTGGGGGGAGTCTGTGGACATTTGTGCGCATTTGTAAAGCATGTTTGGACCAATTCGTAGTCCAGTTCATCCCAAAGGTGTTCGGTAGGGTTGAGGTCAGAGCTCTGTGTAGGCCACTTGTGTTCCTCCACCCCAAATCACATCTTCATAGAGCCAGCTTGTGCACCTGAGCTCGTGGGGACCAGTTTTCGCTGTATATTGTATGTGTGTATGGTAGGAGACAAAGATCATTTGAAATACGATAATTTCCTAATCTCCGATTTCTTAAAACTGAAAAAGAACACCTGCACAGAGAGCTGCACTGACTACATGAACCGCCATATGTTTGTTACAAAATAAATGACAATTTGTGCTGAAACTATTGAAAGAAAATAATTGCCTTCAGAATTCTTGTTAAATGTTTCCGTTTAAAAACAGTATAAGCTCTGGTTGCTACTAGCAACTACTCCAGTTCTCTTCTAATTTTTTCTCTTCTAGTTACTGTTCGTTAGTCTTCTGTTTCCCAGCTCTAGAGCGTGCATAACATCAAATAATAGAACCCATTGGTTACAGTAAACCTTTCCTGTGATGTGTAAGCAAGCTGCCAGTGAAGATCTCCTTCTGATAATGCTAATTGCTTTGCTATTTTATTGTCCCACTATCATTGGTACTATTTTTAAAATCACTGGCCAGGAACAAGTATGCAGATCAGGAAGTCCTTATGTGCTGATTTATTTTAGTTCAATGGCTCAAACTATTGCTCTCTTCAGACATCAGCGATGTGCCAAGTTTTTTTTTGTTTTTTGTTCAGGGAGTAAAAACCGGCATATTATTTCATAAACAGCACACACACTAAACATATTGAACCCCTTCCCAGCCAGTGTCATTAGTACAGTAACGGTGTAAATTATGAGCACTGATCACTGTATTGGTGTCAGTGGCAATTAGTGCTAGATTGCCCACTAAACTATAGCACTCCCTCTAGAAGTGCTAATCACCGCCATTACTAGTATAAACTAAATAAATACAAATTATTACTATTAAATAGTACAGATGACCAGAGACTGCGGACATAGCACAGGAGATGACCAGAGACTGCGGACATAGCACAGGAGATGACCAGAGACTGCGGACACAGTACAGGAGATGACCAGAGACTGCGGACACAGCACAGGAGATGACCAGAGACTGCGGACACAGTACAGGAGATGACCAGAGACTGCGGACATAGCACAGGAGATGACCAGAGACTGCGGACATAGCACAGGAGATGACCAGAGACTGCGGACATAGTACAGGAGATGGACCAGAGACTGCGGACACAGTACAGGAGATGACCAGAGACTGCGGACACAGTACAGGAGATGACCAGAGACTGCGGACACAGTACAGGAGATGACCAGAGACTGCGGACATAGTACAGGGGATGACCAGAGACTGCAGACACAGTACAGGAGATGACCAGAGACTGCGGACACAGCAGAAGGGATGACCAGAGACTGCGGACACAGTACAGGTTATGACCAGAGATTGCGGACACAGTACAGGAGATGACCAGAGACTGCGGACACAGCAGAAGGGATGACCAGAGACTGTGGACACAGTACAGGAGATGACCAGAGATTGCGGACACAGTACAGGAGATGACCAGAGACTGAGGACACAGTACAGGAGATGACCAGAGACTGCGGACACAGTACAGGAGATGACCAGAGACTGCGGACACAGTACAGGGGATGACCAGAGACTGCGGACACAGTACAGGAGATGACCAGAGACTGCGGACACAGTACAGGGGATGACCAGAGACTGCGGACACAGTACAGGAGATGACCAGAGACTGCGGACACAGTACAGGAGATGACCAGAGACTGCAGACACAGCAGAAGGGATGACCAGAGACTGCGGACACAGTACAGGAGATGACCAGAGATTGCGGACACAGTACAGGAGATGACCAGAGACTGAGGACACAGTACAGGAGATGACCAGAGACTGCGGACACAGTACAGGGGATGACCAGAGACTGCGGACACAGTACAGGAGATGACCAGAGACTGCGGACACAGTACAGGGGATGACCAGAGACTGCGGACACAGTACAGGGGATGACCAGAGACTGCGGACACAGTACAGGAGATGACCAGAGACTGCGGACACAGTACAGGGGATGACCAGAGACTGCGGACACAGTACAGGAGATGACCAGAGACTGCGGACACAGTACAGGAGATGACCAGAGACTGCAGACACAGCAGAAGGGATGACCAGAGACTGCGGACACAGTACAGGAGATGACCAGAGACTGCGGACACAGTACAGGAGATGACCAGAGACTGAGGACACAGTACAGGAGATGACCAGAGACTGCGGACACAGTACAGGGGATGACCAGAGACTGCGGACACAGTACAGGAGATGACCAGAGACTGCGGACACTGCGGACACAGTACAGGGGATGACCAGAGACTGCGGACACAGTACAGGGGATGACCAGAGACTGCGGACACAGTACAGGAGATGACCAGAGACTGCGGACACAGTACAGGAGATGACCAGAGACTGCGGACACAGTACAGGAGATGACCAGAGACTGCAGACACAGCAGAAGGGATGACCAGAGACTGCGGACACAGTACAGGAGATGACCAGAGACTGAGGACACAGTACAGGAGATGACCAGAGACTGCGGACACAGTACAGGAGATGACCAGAGACTGCAGACACAGCAGAAGGGATGACCAGAGACTGCGGACACAGTACAGGAGATGACCAGAGACTGCGGACACAGTACAGGAGATGACCAGAGACTGAGGACACAGTACAGGAGATGACCAGAGACTGCGGACACAGTACAGGGGATGACCAGAGACTGCGGACACAGTACAGGGGATGACCAGAGACTGCGGACACAGTACAGGGGATGACCAGAGACTGCGGACACAGTACAGGGGATGACCAGAGACTGCGGACACAGTACAGGGGATGACCAGAGACTGCGGACACAGTACAGGGGATGACCAGAGACTGCGGACACAGTACAGGGGATGACCAGAGACTGCGGACACAGTACAGGGGATGACCAGAGACTGCGGACACAGTACAGGAGATGACCAGAGACTGCGGACACAGTACAGGAGATGACCAGAGACTGAGGACACAGTACAGGAGATGACCAGAGACTGCGGACACAGTACAGGGGATGACCAGAGACTGCGGACACAGTACAGGGGATGACCAGAGACTGCGGACACAGTACAGGGGATGACCAGAGACTGCGGACACAGTACAGGAGATGACCAGAGACTGCGGACACAGTACAGGAGATGACCAGAGACTGCGGACATAGTACAGGAGATGACCAGAGATTGCAAACAGCACAGGGGATAACCAGAGACTGCGGACACAGCACAGATGACCAGAGACGGCAGACACAGCACAGGAGATGACCAGAGACTGCGGACATAATACAGGAGATGACCAGAGACTGCGGACACAGTACAGGAAATGACCGGAGACTGCGGACACAGCACAGGAGATGACCGGAGACTGCGGACACAGCACAGGAGATGACCGGAGACTGCGGACCTACTACAGGAGATGATTTTTTTTGGGGGAAAAAAGTGCGTCTTATGGAGCGAAAAATACGGTATATAAAATCTCATATAGACACTATAACTTTCACGCAAGCCAATCCATATACATTTATTGGGATTTTTTTTTAATTTTACTAAAGATGTAGCAGAATACATTTTGGCCTAACTTTATGAAGAAATTTGGTTCTCTTTATCGTATTTGTTTTCTAGCAGAAAGTAGAAAATAATGTTTCTTTTGTGTCTTTTTTTTTGTTTATATTGCAAAAAGAAAAAAAAAAACAGTGGTGATCAAACACACCAAAAGGAAAGCTCTATTTGTGTGAAAAAACTGATAAATTTATTTGGACACAGTTTTGCACAACCACGCAATTACTAGTTAAATTAGCGCAGTGCCGAACAGCAAAAAAATGTCCTGGTCATGAAGAGGGTAAAATCTTCTGGAGCTCAAGCAGATAATCATCAACCCCTATTGGGTGGGGTCAGGCAATAAATGGGGCAGCAACTGACTTCAGACGACCTCTGATCCATCAAGCTAAAGTGCTAGTCTGAAAATAAAGTTCAATAGGGAGGAAAATGTAAAAACTTCCATAAAAAGCACAATTTTAATAAATTAAGATTTAATTACTAAATTCTTGTATGAGCCCAGATGATTCTTTTCATTATCAGTGTCAATCGTTATATTACCAAGAAACAAAACAATCATAAATAAATTTATTTTAATCATTTGCTGTCAGTTTGTGACTACCTGTTAAAAAAAGACCAAAAAAAATGTAGTATAAAATTATGTGCAAAATCTGAAGGAATGAAGTAGACATTTCCTATTCGGAAATTTGGTCCTTACTAGAGCTGGATAAAACCCAATGCAGCGTGAACTTCACAGAAGTGGATCCTGACTGCTTCGACCTTAGTGGTTGTCCATGGATCATTGTCAGTTTATGTTCCCTGAGGTTCTTTGGGGTTGATGTGAATAGACTGACAAAAGAAAATATTTCCCATTATCCGAGGAATGTGGAGATGAAGACGCTGGTGTCCAGGTTTAGGGTGGCATGCCACCAACGGTCAGGAAAGTACAAAACCTAAGAAGCAAAGACAGTGACATTAGTAGTAGCAAGCTGTACTACAGGCAGTTATAGACAACATAGACTGTCCATTAAAATAATCTCTCATTTCAATAATGTAGGGTTAGTTGATCCAAATTTGATATTGCTGTTCCTCTCCATGTGAGCCTACGACTGGTCTAGGGGTGAAGCTCCCACCTGTTAAAGGCTAGGTGGAGGAAGAGCCGGGAGTAGAAAAATGATGGTATCTGAAAATAATTTTCCATTTATGTGGCCTCTAGCTATCATATGCTAAGAGGAGAAAGAGCCAAGAAATAGAAATGATGGTATCTGAAAGGAATTTTCACATAGTAGGTTTTGGCTCTTCCGCTACACCAGCGATTCTCTTCCTCATAAATTCTAGATATGAATATTTTATAGATCTCTAAGAAGATTGCACTGTCTCTTTAAATATATAATGTGAGGAGGCGCGGGCCTTCCACATTTAAAATCCTACTATAACGCTATTCTTCTGGACCAAATATATTTTTGCTGGAACCCAACTAGAGAAAAAATGTGGTCTACAATGGAAACCTTACCCTTCCATTCACTTAAACTCCAAAATTTACTCCTAATTCCTACAATGCTACAAACCAATTACCAATTAAAACACCCATGTATCCTAGCCGCCCTTCAAGCCTGGCGCGATCTTCTGACCATAGAATACACAGACACTAAACAAATTTTCACTTCAATCGCAATATTACACACCATCACACCCTCACTGGACCTAACCCAGTGGGAAAAAACGAAACATACACAAAATAACAGACCTCTATAAAGACCACGTCCTGCAACCATTTCAAATTCTCCAATCCACATTCAATTTACCATCCACGGAATACTTCACCTACTTAAGGATTGCTCACTGTATGCAAACAAAAAGTATACCTCACACCACAAAAATCCCTAATACTGCCTACCTTTTCTTTACAAAGCCACAATACCCAGGTAAAGGTATCTCCACTTTCTACAATTACATAACAAACATTCAATTCGCTTTAAAATCTACTTCCTTATCTAACTGGGAAAAAACCCTCTCAGAAACAATTACACCACACGCATGGAGCACCGCATTTGGTACCACTTACAAATCATCCCGCTGCAGTTCACACTGGGAAGCATACTTAAAAAATTCTCCACCAATGGTATCTAACCCCAGTCAAACTTGCCATGTATTACACAAAACACTCCGCCTCTTGTTGGCGACAATGCGGGACATAGGTTCAACACTACATATATTGTGGTCATGTAAATCAATTAAATCCTTTTGGAAACGTGTCTTCCAACTAATCTCTGAAATAACCCAAACAGTGATCAACCCAAATCCTCTACTTGCGCTTTTACATATTGGGATTGAAAAATTCCCCTATACCTCTCGCACCATAATTGTCCATATACTTTTTGCAGCAAAAATCAATATAACCAGATTATGGAACACCACTACTGCCCCTTCTCTCAAATCACTAATTACGGATCCTAATTTCCAATGTGAAATGGAAAAAAAAAAAACGGCCCTCAACAACTCCACCCAACACAAATTTAATTCCCAATGGACTAACTGGTTAAAACATCCCAATTGCTCAGTACAAGCCTGATTTTGTACAAACAATTGAATTACCCATCCATTTTAGACTGGTACCCCTCCCCTCATCCCACTATAACTTCCTCCTCCTCTCCTTTCCCTTCCCTCTTCCTGTTCTCCCCATGTTTATATCACTCTACCATTTTCTACACCTCACCAAAGTTCAGTATATATCCATATCTACCTATGTTACTATTATCTTATTCCATGTCCCCAGCCAATTGGGGGGGTACACATGCTTCAATAATGTATTGTATGACTACAATTCTTATTGCACTGAACGTTTTTATTATAGCATTACCCAGTTATTGAAAATTCTCAATAAAAACATTTTGAAATAAATACATAATGTGTTGTCAAAGTGATCAAAAAATCATATATAAAAATTCCTTAAAAATGATAATCCTTCCCAAAATCTTATATATATTTAGGACTCTGCCCATATCTATACCTACGACTTTCTTTCATGCAGCACAAAGATGCTTTTCAAATTTTATTTCGGATGCTAAAAGACCTAGATGCTCCAATAACTTACTCATTCGCCCTTATGACAAAGGGGGAACAAACCTCCTTCATTTACACACATATTACCTAGCTACTCTGCTAGACCAGAACTGCTTTTGGTGGCATCCTAAATAAACATAATAATGATGCAGCGCTAATTAAAATAAACAATCACGGGCGACATAAAGTGTATAAAACAAATTCTATACGTATGAAAGGTCTGGAGAGCAGACCTATAGGTGATCACATAGACAATCGTGACCCCAATCCACATGGGGATAAATAAATCGTGACCCCAGGTGCCCTATTGGGACACAATATAACAGTAACAAACACAGAAGTGAATCCCTGCTGATGGATCAAAATATAACACCATGTGAAACACACATCACATATAAATAATCGTAGTGTCAAAAAGTCCATATAATGGTGTAGTGATCTTCCGGTTCATGCACGATGTGGATGTCAGCACACCCCTCAATGTGACCCAAAGGAATGGTTGCAATGGCCTCTCACCTCCACTTCATGACCCTACAGGATCATAAAGCAAAATATCTCCCCTCTGGATCCTCAGAGTAACCGCTTAACCAGATGGTGCAAGCAGGTCATAAGTATTCACTACTCCACTGGACCGGTCAGCAGGCAGATTAGCACTCTCATAAACATCACAACTCATATGCCCATAAAATGAGAAGAGAACACAATCTCCATCGTGTGTTACTGTTTAATGGCCTATAGATAAGAAGCCAGAGGTGCACTCACATAAATGTCGCTTGAATCAAGGTAGAATCCAATGAGCAAGGTATACAGCTTGAATCAAGGTAGAATCCAATGAGCAAGGTATACTGCTTGAATCAAGGTAGAATCCAATGTGCAAGGTATACTGCTTGAATCAAGGTAGAATCCAATGTGCAAGGTATACTGCTTGAATCAAGGTAGAATCCAATGAGCAAGGTATACAGCTTGAATCAAGGTAGAATCCAATGAGCAAGGTATACAGCTTGAATCAAGGTAGAATCCAATGAGCAAGGTATACTGCTTGAATCAAGGTAGAATCCAATGAGCAAGGTATACAGCTTGAATCAAGGTAGAATCCAATGTGCAAGGTATACTGCTTGAATCAAGGTAGAATCCAATGTGCAAGGTATACAGGTTGAATCAAGGTAGAATCCAATGTGCAAGGTATACTGCTTGAATCAAGGTAGAATCCAATGAGCAAGGTATACAGCTTGAATCAAGGTAGAATCCAATGAGCAAGGTATACAGCTTGAATCAAGGTAGAATCCAATGAGCAAGGTATACAGGTTGAATCAAGGTAGAATCCAATGAGCAAGGTATACAGCTTGAATCAAGGTAGAATCCAATGTGCAAGGTATACTGCTTGAATCAAGGTAGAATCCAATGAGCAAGGTATACAGCTTGAATCAAGGTAGAATCCAATGTGCAAGGTATACAGGTTGAATCAAGGTAGAATCCAATGAGCAAGGTATACAGCTTGAATCAAGGTAGAATCCAATGTGCAAGGTATACAGGTTGAATCAAGGTAGAATCCAATGAGCAAGGTATACAGCTTGAATCAAGGTAGAATCCAATGTGCAATGTATACAGCATGAAGAAAAAACCGCTAATAGGTTATCAAAAATGGCGCCAAGCCGGAAGTGCGTCACACTTGAATGCCGTTGACGCGTTGCATCACGTGACCTTGTGACTTCATCAGGATCTGATTCAAGCAACATTTATGTGAGTGCACTTCTGGCTTCTTATCTATAGGCCATTAAACAGTAACACACGATGGAGATTGTGTTCTCTTCTCGTTTTATGGGCATATGAGTTGTGATGTTTATGAGAGTGCTAATCTGCCTGCTGACCGGTCCAGTGGAGTAGTGAATACTTATGACCTGCTTGCACCATCTGGTTAAAAGAGCGGTTACTCTGAGGATCCAGAGGGGAGATATTTTGCTTTATGACCCTGCAGGGTCGTGAAGTGGAGGTGAGAGGCCATTGCAGCCATTCCTTTGGGTCACATTGAGGGTGTGCTGACATCCACACCGTGCATGAACAGGAAGATCACTACACCATTATATGGACTTTTTGACACTACGATTATTTATATGTGATGTGGGTTTCACATGGTGTTATATTTTAATCCCTCACCAGGGATTCACTGTTATATTGTGTCCCAATAGGGCACCTGGGGTCACGATTTATTTATCCCCATGTGGATTGGGGTCACAATTGTCTATGTGATCACCTATAGGTCTGCTCTCTAGACCTTTCATACGTATAGAATTTGTTTTATACACTTTATGTACCCCATGACCAGTGGCGGACTGACAACTCATGGGGCCCCCGGGCAATAGGGGATCATGGGGCCCCTGTGTCTTTGCCCAAACTCAAAAAAACCTATGAAAAAGGTACCAGGGGCATCTCATGGGGCCCCCTACTGACCCCGGGCCCTTGGGCAGTGCTCGAGTTTCCAAATGGTCAGTCCGCCCCTGCCCATAATTGTTTATTTTAATTAGCGCTGCATCATTATTATGTTTATTTGATTTAAGACCTATATGGTACAGGTTAGGATGCTAGCTGCTTTTTAGCGTTTATATATTTTTCTTTCTTTTCCAACATAAGAGCGCAGGAGGATTTTGTCTTTTTTATTCACTCCTAGAAACTACCTTTTTTCACCCCAGTACACTCAATCATACCTTCTTCTCTCATCTACTAAGAGAAAGCTTCCAAGCCACACACACACCCCTGCATCAAACCCACACTAGATGCTTGGTCAGCCTTATTCTCCCTCCCTCTTCCAAAACCTAACAAGATCTATATTCCTCTCAAGGCTCTCACCACTCTAATCCCGGACATAGACCTAAGTCTTTGGGAACAGCAAGATATATCACTTACAGGGGCGGACTGACAACTCTTGGGGCCCCCGGGCAATAGGTCTGCTCTATAGACCTTTCATACGTATATAATTTGTTTTATACACTTTATGTACCGCATGATCAGTGGTGGACTGACAACTCATGGGGCCACTGGGCAATAGGGGATCATGGGGCCCCTGTGTCCTTGCCCAAACTCAAAAAAACCTATGAAAAAGGTACCAGGGGTATCTCATGAGGCCCCCTACTGACCCCGGGCCCTCAGGCAGTGCCCGAGTTTCCAAATGGTCAGTCCGCACCTGATCACTTTTCTCAGACCTTTTTTGACACCAAAATCTAGCCCCCTTCCACCATTTACAACAGAAATATCTGTTATCCTCCAAAGACGAATTTACATATATCTGAATCTTACATTGTATGAAAACCTACAATCCCCCACACACCACTCCGTGCCTCAGCATATCTTTTCCTAAACAAATCCCAGTATCCTGGTAAAGGCATATCCCTAGTTTACTCACTTATTGTAGAAGCTAAAAACTCCTCTAAAACAACTTCATTATTCAGTTGGGAAGCCCTCCTATCTCAAAAGATCTCAGAACAGTCTTGGCAGAGAACCTTTTCCATCACTTATAAAGCCTCCAGATGTGCCAAACACTGGGAAGCCCACATTAAATGATTGCATCAATGGTACTCAACACCAACTAAACTGTCCAGAATATATCCGATGACTTCCTCCCAATGCTGGAGACTATGTGGGGAACCAGGATCTCTATTTTGCATTATATGGGCCTGTAAGTCTATCAGATCATTTTGGAACAACATATTCTAACTAATTTCAAAGATCTCGGGCTTTGTAATTTCCCCCAGTCCTGATCTAGCGATTCTCTATATAGGGATAGATTCTCTCCAGAACTTTGTAGCATCATAATCCACCTCCTATATGCAGATAAAAATAATAGAAATAGCCTATGGAAAACAACAGAGTCCCCATCCCTAACAAGAGTAATTGCACATCTTAACTTTCAGTGTGAAATGGAAAGGAAATTCTCTTTTTCCCACTTTTCATACCACAAATTCTTTAGAGCCTGGCAAAATTGGGCACTACATCCGAAATGCACAGTTCAAGTTCAATGGCACTTCATCTTTAGAGTACAATAACTACTATGTAAGAATAGAATTACAAATTTGACTGGTATCTTGTTATGTTTTATAACTACAAGCAAAAATTTTTACTTCCTCCTCTTACCCCCCCATCTCCCCTTCCACCCCCCACCCACATCTCCCCCCCCTCACCCACATCTCCCCCCTCCCCCCTATGGTTCATACTGTACTGTCTGGAAATAAGCCTGCATATTTAATTCCTACTATATATATATATATATATATGTATGTAGTACTATGAACCTATGGATATCCTGGTTTACTGTTTTCCTGTTGTGGGCAGCACAGTGGCTTTGTGGTTAGCACTTCTGCTTGGCAGTACTCAGGTCGTTGGTTCGAATCCCAACCACGGCACCACCTGCCTGGAGTTTGCATGTTCTCCCTGTGCCTGAGTGGGTTTCCTCCGGGTACTCCGGTTTCCTTCCACACCCCAAAGACATGCTGGTAGGTTAATTGTCTCCTGTCTAAATTGTCCCTAGTATGTGTATGATGTGTATGTATGAATGTGAGTTAGGGACCGTAGATTGTACGCCCCTTGAGGGTTAGGGACTGATGTGAATGTACAATATATATGTAAAGTGCTGCGTAAATTGACGGCGCTATATAAGTACCTGAAATAAATAAAAATAAATAAAAAAACTTGAAATCAATAAAGATAAGTTGAATATTAAAAAAAAAAATCCTCAAAAAATGAATAAAACTTCAGAATTCAATGCATCAAAAATTAATATAAAGTGTCAAATACTTAAAAGAGAAGCAGGGCTTTTTTTTCCCCATTTATACTTACCTAGGTGGGTGCAGCATCGGTCCCCTGCTGGCCCTAAGTGTGAAAATTCAGTGATCACATGACTGCTGATCTTTGTGTTCTCAGTCACCCCCACCACCACGTTCACAGAAACACTGGGCTGTGGAGGGGGAGAGAGTGGCTGGCTCAGGGTCTAAGTGGCTTTAAAGTCAGGATTTCCCCAGCCTGGACCAGCTGAGTGACTTCAACCAACACTCTCAGCTGAAAACAGGTTACAGGAATGCAGAATGAACTGCAGTCTTGTGATCCACAGGAGAAGTACAGCCAAAAGAGCTTTGGCTGTACTTCTCCTCTAAAGTGCAATGATTCATGTATTAAAGTGCAAATGCTGAAAGATAAAACAAGCACGAAGTCCAGACAGAAGACATCCAGTGGAGACTCCCACCACCAATATATACGCTCCTTACCAAATTGATCAGACCCCTAAACTTGAGGAGTTTGATCGGGTTTAGATATATAGCAAGGAAAATGACGACAGTTTGGAATCAATCACAAAGTAGCGTTATGTTCTCCTGATGATGAAATACTTTGGGCAGAGTTACCAGTGACGTCATCGCGCATGCTTGATGGTGGGTAGTGGCGCTGCCTTTTGAATACATGCTTGTGTTCTTATTTACCTTGTAAAATGTTTAAATAAAACCCTATGCAAGCTCCGATATTGGGCCATGGATTATTTTCATTGCTTCTGAGAATTACAGGATGGAAGATTGCTGACACGGTCCATTGGAATTCTGAGAGGGAAGTTGGAGCTATGTGATGTAATGGATTCCAAGCTGGTGTATGTGGGAAATTGTGCCCATTCAGCAAAAGAGCATTTGTGTGGTCAGGTACTTATGTTGGATCAGAAGACCTGTTTCGCCATCGGTGTTCCTATTCATCCCAAAGGTGTTCAGGGCTCTGAGCAGACCACATGAGCTCCTTCACGCCAAACCATGACTACCACAAGTTTAGAAGCCCACAATTATGTAAAATGTTTTGTATCCTGTAGTATTAACAGTACTCTTCACTGCCAACACCCGAATGCAGTCATCTGGAGTGTAATGGTCAGGTGTCCTCAAACCTAGGAGCATGTCTGGTGAGAGGGATCAGATAGTGAGGTATCTAAGCTGTGGACCACACATCTCCATCTAGTCTTCTCCTATATCCTTTGCACTGCAGTAATCATTGATATTCTGAACTTACCTCTCCAGGCCGGATGGTACATTCAACTGGTCGTTCCTCAGCTGCAAGGATGGGGTACACATCAATCATCCAAGACAAAGTGGTCCTATTAGGGTTGAATTCAGGGGTCTTGTCAGGAGGGTAAAGAAGCCAACGCTGGTTTAAAAAGAAAAAAAAATGATGCAAATATTGTCAGCTGGGAGTGGCCGATACATGTCCCATCCATAAAATAAATAAATAAAATAAAATGAAAAGAAACAGCAAATTAAAGGCTCACTGATGAACTATGAGGTGATTAGGCTGATGCTAACTGAGTCAGCTCCCTACTTCCTATACCTTATGTAGACTGAAAAAATTGTCCTTCAGTAGTTTGTGTCTCTGCGCTAATCCTCGAGACTTCATAATGACGTCACTCCCTAACAGCTGTAGTTCCCAATTCATTCTTTATGCTACATAACGAAGACACCCCGATGCACTGCAGGATTTGGGATCCCTAAAGTGTAATTTCACCTTTCAGAAAGTTTTTCTGAAATCCCCCTATTTAATTCTGCATCCGATGAATACCATAGTTACTCCCAGGGGCGGACTGACCATTTGGAAACTCGGGTGCTGCCCGAGGGCCCGGGGTCTGTAGGGGGCCCCATGAGATGCCCCTGGTACCTTTTTCATAGGCTTTTTTTTGAGTTTGGGCAAGGACACAGGGGCCCCATGATCCCCTATTGCGCGGGGGCCCCATGAGTTGTCAGTCCACCCCTGGTTACTCCTGTTGAAAATGCTGACAATCCTCCCAATATAGATGCAGCTGTTGTGGATTCTCTTAGTCTTCACGCACACGGGACGTTTTTACAGCGGCTGTTTTTGGCTTTTGACGTTTTTTTCTACAGCCAGTAAACCCCCCAGCATGTTATCCTATGTGTCCATGCACACACAGACTGGAATCAACGTTTTTTGGCTGGAAAAAAAACCCAGAACTAGACAGTTTCTAGAGGGGGGGTGGAGCCTGGACATGGCGGCTGAGGGGAGCGAGCGGCACTAGCTTTCGGCTAGGTCCTGCTTCCCGACCTCCCTAGTGACCCTTAGAGAACGACTCACCGGAGTCTGGAGAGCTTGGAATGGAGCCCGGAGAGACGGAGATGGGAGCTGGACGGAGGCTGCAGTGACGCGCCGGCTCCTCCGGCGCCTCGTGAGAGAGAGATCCGGATGGCTGGGAGGCGAGGTGACGCGGCGGGGGCGTGTATGCAACCGCGGAGGATCTCTGGGAGAAGCTGGCCGGCCGCCTGATGAGACAGGGAGATGCCGGCTTACTGTTACCGGCTCCCTGTTGCCCATAACCCCCGGCCTATTGCTGCCTACAACCTCCGGCTTGTTACTGGCCGTGTCTCCTGGCTTGCTGCTGCCTGCGGCCCCCGGCCAGTAGACTGTTCAATCCGGGGAGACCCGGGAGTATTAGGAGACCCACCCTGCATCCCTGGGACGAAGCCCAGAGAGGAAAAACGAGGCATAGCGTGGGAAGACCAGAGGAATCCCCCCCAGGACAGAGCTGATGTGAAGGCCCTCCACTCATGCTTGGAGCCACCGTCTTGGGAAGAGAAGGGTGAGTGAGAGCTTTGGGGGGTCTATTGTGCAGTGGACTACTGAGTGACATTGGGGATCAAGGGGTCAAGGAGGAGAGAGGAGGATTCCCTGGGTTTAGAAGAGAAAAGCCCCAGGTGCCACAGGAGAGCAAAATACAAGGAAAATCTGCAAACCTGTCTGAAGCACAAACCATAAAGGAGAGGTACACCCCCATCTAGAGCATATAGAAGACAAAAGATATATAGAGGATATGAAGAATAAAGGTCCTAAGGGAGCAGGGCTCAAAGGGTCTCAATCAGGAAATTTCCATCATACGGTAATACTACCCCAGAAAGGCCCCAAGGCGACAGTGCTAAAGGGGAAATGGACACTAGATCCGGAAATAGTCCTAGATTGTCATTGGGTTTGAACAGCAGTAGAAGCCAACAAATAGAGGATGGCTTGGGAAAAAAAGAGCTTGATGGTGAACTACAAGTACCGAATAAGAAGGAGATGACAGAAATGTTTCAAAGTTTGGAGAAAATGATAAAACATGAAATGACAGTTATTCGAAACGACTTAGGGCATTTGCTGTCAAGAATGGAAGAAATAGAGGAGAAAGTTAAAACCCAGGCCCAAACCATAGATAATCTAAGGAAAAAAACAACCCATTTGGAGAAAACCCAGAAAAAATTGCTCTATAGGATGGAAATTCAAGAAAATAAAGAAAGAAGGTGTAATCTCAGGATGCGAGGAATTCCAGAGTCTGTAAAAGGGGAAACATTATATGAACTAGTTAATAAAATCTTAAACTCCATAAGAGACAGACCTGAAACAGATGTGATTGAACTGGACGGAGTGTTCAGAATAGGAAAGTTTAAACAAGAGACTGAGAGGAAAAGATCGAGAGATATCGTTGTCCAGTTCCAGAAATTTGGGGTCAAAAATGAGATTTGGAAGAAGATCAAGGGAAGATCATTAATTAAGTATAGAGATTGGACTATTCAAATTTTTGCGGACTTAACATCAGAGACTCTAAGGAGAAGGAGATCCCTGAAACCCCTGTTGGAGCAAATGAGAAAACAGAAAGTGCAATATAGATGGGGTACCGCAGTATCTCTAATTGGCTGGAAAAATGGGGTCACAGCATATCTGAGATTCCCGGACGAAGTGAGAGAGTTTTTGCGATAGACTGGACTTGCAAAGAATGGAGATAGCTGGGTGGGAAGAAGAAGAAAAAGGAGATACAGTTAATGCAAGAAAGGAGGGCTGGCAGCGGGTCGGGGGGGAGGGGGAGGGAGGCCTTGCGGTTGGGGGGGGGGGGAGGGAGAATTAAGTAAAATATATGCTTTTCTTCTTCTCTCTCTTTTCTCCTCACCCCCTCTCGTATCCCCCCTGTAGAAGCGGAGGTCCCTCTGGAAGCTCCGGTTAAGGGGGGGAAGTAAAGGTATTGCAGAGCCCAGTTGATAGAGAAAGGGGAGCTGGGGAGGTCGGAGGAGAGGTGAGCCGTCCATGGGCGGAGCTTACGCCCAATATTTTAAATCAACCGTGGAAACCGTTCCACAAATGATTTGTAGGCAGTTTATAAGCCTAAAAATGGGTAGGGGGGAAATAAGAGAGGGGGGGGGTGGGGGGGGAGGGGGTGGGGGGGGGTTGGGTGGGAGGGGGGGGGGGGGGGTTAGGGGTTACGGGGCTAATACTCTGCAAGACAGCTGGGCCTAATAGGAAGAGACGATTTAGAAGAAAGATAGACAGACTTATGAAGGATGGAAGAAATACAGTTTATAACATATAATGTGAATGGGTTGAATTGTCCTGGGAAAAGATTTAAGTTGTTTAAAGAGTTACATCACAGGGCAACGTCAGTGGTATTTTTACAGGAGACACACTTTGAGATAGAGTCAAACGTGAAACTAAAATCTAAATATTACCCAACATGGTATTACGCTGACTCTCCAATTAAAAGAGCAAAGGGGGTGGCAATAGGCTTGGCAAAGAATATGAGATTTGAGCTGGAAGAGAGAAAGACTGATCCGGAGGGGAGATTCCTATTTTTGAAAGGTAAACTACAGGGAATTGAGTGTACACTAGCCAATATATATTGCCCCAACAAAAAAACCGGAGATCTTTTTGAAGGGTCTGCTGAAAAAATTGATTGATTTTAAAAAAGGGCGTTTAATTATAGCAGGAGATTTAAATCTTTGTATGGACCCACAAAAGGATGCAACCTCCCTTGTGCAGAGAGAGGGGGGTAGGTCTCTGAGAGCTTTGAAGAAGGTGATCCACGAGTACCAACTGGTGGACTCTTGGAGAATAATGCATATGAAAGACAGAGACTATACCTTCTTCTCTAATGCACATGAGATATACTCGAGACTGGATTACTTTTTGATAGATCATCAACTCATTGAACTGTTGGTTAAAATAGAAATAGAGACAAGAACTTTCTCGGATCATGCCCCTGTCATAATGAAAATAGGATGGGGAAGAAGGTGGACGGGAGGCTTAGGATGGAGGTTAAATGAGGCTCTTCTCTTGGATGAGGATATTGCGCAGAAGATCAGGGAAGAGATTAAAGTATATTTCAAGGAGAATGAGACAGAGGAAGTATCGACAGCTACAGTATGGGAAAGCCATAAGGGTATATATAAGAGGAATCTTGATTGCGATGGGAGCAAGGAAGAAAAAGAAAGAAGAGAGAGGGTTAGTGGACTCCTAAAGGAAATCCTGGACTTGGAGCAGATACATAAGAAGAAAATAACAATAGAAACAAGACAGAAGTTAAAGGATAAAAAAGACGAGCTAGAGAGACTGATGGAAGAGGAGAGGAGAAGAGTAAATAACAAAGTATTAAGTGAAAGATATAGATGGGGAGATAGACCAGGAAAATACTTAATGAGAGCCCTGAATAAAAAGAAAAACAGGAATTATATAGAAAAGATAAAAAGTCCTAAGGGGGAGTTGGTCCACTCAACTAAAAAAAGTATTAAAGTATTCACGGAGTATTATAGAAAGTTATATAACATTAGTCTTCAAGGTGCACCAAAAGAAATTAGAGAAGGTATTAACGAAAAAAGGATGATATATTTAAAAAATGCGGGACTACCTAAGCTCAGTGAAACACAATTGAATTCCTTGGAAACGCGGAAATTTCCCAGGAAGAAATAGAAGCAGCATTAAGAAGTACAGGGGGTGGGAAAAGCCCTGGCCCGGATGGTTATACAGTTAAGTACTATAAAAAATTTTGTGAATTACTGTTACCGAAGCTGAAGAAGTATATGAATGACTTGGGAGGTGGGATGGAGGGGAGGAGGGAATCCCTTCAGGCCCATGTAGTTCTCATTCACAAGGAGGGAAAAGATCCTTCTCAGTGCTCTAGCTATAGACCAATTTCATTATTGAACACTGATACCAAGTTGTACGCAAAGGTTCTAGCAAACAGGCTGAAAGAACTAATGCCTGAATGGATCCATGGAGATCAGGTGGGCTTTGTCCCAGGGAGAGAGGGTAGAGACAACGGGTTGAGAACTTTAATGCTTATTCAGAAAAGTAGAAAAGGAAAAGCCCCGGTGGTGCTCTTGTCAATTGATGCCGAAAAGGCGTTTGATAGAGTGGACTGGGGCTTTATGATGGACAACTTGGAAGTGCTGGGGATCGGAGAGAGAATGCGGGAGTGGATAGGTAAATTATATAGGGAGCCCACCGCAATCATTACGGTAAATGGGGAGAGGTCGGAATCCATTGGGATGTCCAATGGAACAAGACAGGGCTGCCCATTGTCCCCCCTGTTGTACGTTTTGACACTGGAACCCTTGTTGTCAATAATAAGGAATAGTGGAGCGGTAAAGGGAATCCAGATAGAAAATATAGAACATAAGGTAGCGGCCTTTGCGGACGACCTATTGTTTTATGTAGGCAACCCCCGAATAACATTACCAAGTATAATGAAGACCCTGAAGGAGTATGGTGAACTATCAAATCTAAAAATTAACCCAACAAAAACAGAGATTCTGAACATCAATATACCAAAGAGTGAAAAAGAAAAGTTACAAAAAGAATTCCCCTTTATATGGAGAGAAAAAAGATATAAAATACCTAGGAATAAAACTGGCTACTTCATATAAACAACTGTATAGATTAAACTATATTTCTTTGATAAACGAGACTAAGGATGAATTAAAAAGATTAGAAGGAGGAAATCCATCATGGTTAGGACGTATAAACCTAGTTAAAATGGTAATTATACCTAAAATACTCTATAGATTTCAAATGGTCCCAATTAAACTCCCAGAGGCGTTTTTTAAGATAATGAGAAGAATGTTAACAAGATATATATATAGAGGAATAAAAAACCAAGAATATCATACGAAACATTAAGTAGGACTAAAGAGAAAGGGGGAATGGGACTACCTGATGTCAAGAGATATTATAAAGCAGTAATTTTAGCGAGCATATATGACTGGACATTTAACCATAAGGGAAAAAGTTGGGTAAAAAATAGAAAACGAACTGAGTGGAATTAGTTTGAGTAAGATGATATGGGTCCCGGCACAATATAGAAGAATTAAAGAAAACAAAAGCACTTTCACTTTAAATGTTTTAAGGACATGGGATAATTTACATAAACACATGAAATGGGAATTCAACTCTATATTAATGCCACTTGCAAACACAGAGTTTTTTTTCCTCCAGGAAAGGATGAGATATCAGGGAGATGGTTTAAAAAAGAAGATATCCAATTGAGAGATGTATTGGTAGAGGGGGAATTGAGAACATTTAAAGAATTAAAAGAGAGGGGGGGGGGGATATGTTTAATAGAATAGATGAGTGGAAATATCACCAATTAAAATGTTTCATTGGAAATCTCCCAAAACCCTTGAGATTAAAAAAGGAGTGGAATTTGTTTGAAAGGCTATTAGAAACACGTAGGGATGGGAAACACGGTGTTACAAAAAATTTAAAGGATACTCACAGAATTAGACACGGACACAAAGTTAATTTTTATAACAAATTGGGAAAGAGATATGGAGGTGGTGATAGATGAGGATCAACAGAATAAGATATTTAGATTGGTACACGAGAGTGTTAGTATGAGAGACGTTGAGATTAACTATAAATGTCTGACACGATGGCATATTACACCGAGCACTGAGCACAAGATGAGTGGGGAGAATTCAAAAATGTGTTGGAGAGGATGTGGGGAGGAGGGCATGGTGTTCCACATATGGTGGCAATGTCCAAAAATTCAGGTTTTCTGGAAGACAATAGTTAAATTAATAGAAATAATAACTGGAAATGACATAGGGTTAGACCCAACCATGTGTCTCCTACATAATGTTGAGACAACAGTAAATAAATATAAAAAGAATCAGGCGTATGGTACTACTTAAGTGCTGCAAAAGGGTTGATACCTAAGTTTTGGCGGAAGACAGAGGTGCCGATAGAGGAGGATTGGATTAATAGGGTAAACCAGATTAGCAGAATGGAAAAATCATACTATATGCAGGAAGACAGGTTGGAAATATACTATTCGCGATGGGAAAAATCAGGAATGAAAGAGAAATATAGAAAATTTTAAACTAGGAAATTATTTAAAGTTATTGGGTCTTGAGAGATTGGAGATCTTGCAGAGGGGAGGGAGGGGGTGGGGGGGGGTAGAGGTGGGTTGGGAGGGGAGGGAAAGAAAAGAGGTAATTAGAAGGGGGCAAAGTAGAAATGTATTGATTATTTATATGTTTTGTGTCTCTTCTTATGGAATTTTTGTAATAATATGAAAAACTAATAAATATTTAAATTAAAAAAAAATTAAAAATAGACAGTTTCTAGAGGAGTTTTTTAGCTGTAAAAATGCTCTAATGCTGAAAAACGCGGTAAAACGCCACAAACTGGCATTTTGGACTTTTTTTGAGCAAAAAAAAACATTTTTTTTTGTTTTGGTAAAAAAGACACAAATGAGGGAAAACACTGCTAGACGCGGCAAAACACCAATGCAAAAAATGCTGGAAAACACGTTTTTAACCACTTGAGCTCCTGAGGATTTACCCCCCTTAATGACCACGCCTTTTTTTGCTGTTTGGCGCTGCACTAATTCAAATAATAATTGCGCGGTCATGCAATGCTGTACCCAAACGAAATTTATGTCCTTTTTTTCACACAAATAGAGCTTTCTTTGAGTGGTATTTGATCACCTGTGCGCTTTTTATTTTTTGCGCTATAAACAAAAAAAACACGAAAATTTAAAAAAAAACCAATATTTTCTAATTTCAGCTATAAAAATATATCGTAAACTCAAAGTTAGTCATAAATTTAGGCCAAAATGTATTCTGCTCCATGTTTTTGGTAAAAAAAATCCCAATAAGTGTATATTGATTGCTTTGTGTGAAAGTTCTAGCGTCTACAAACTATGGTATAGATCAGGGGTGGGCAAACTTTTTGACTTGAGGGCCGCAATGGGTTCATATATTGGACCCGGGGGCCGGACCAAGAGTAGATGAATGATGTGTATGTGTCATCCATAGTAAGTATAGTAATATTCCCCCATTGTAATTCATCCCCCATATAGTAATTCATCCCCCATATAGTAATTCATCCCCCATATAGTAATTCATCCCCCATAGTAATTCATCCCCCATATAGTAATTCATCCCCCATAGTAATTCATCCCCCTATATAGTAATTCATCCCCCATATAGTAATTCATCCCCCATAGTAATTCATCCCCCATATAGTAATTCATCCCCCATATAGTAATTCATCCCCCATAGTAATTCATCCCTCATATAGTAATTCATCCCCCATAGTAATTCATCCCCCATATAGTAATTCATCCCCCATAGTAATTCATCCCCCCTATAGTAATTCATCCCCCATAGTAATTCATTCCCCATATTGTGTCAATTCACTTACCTTTGCTCCGCGCGTTCCTCTCGCCGTGTTCCCGCGCCGTTCCGGTCTTCAGGGCGGACTGTGAGAGGAACCTAGCTCCCCTGCTGCCCCGCCTCACGCTGCCCCGCTCCTCACGCTGCCCCGCCTACACACATCCTGACAGGCAATGTTTGCCACGCTCCGCGGGCCGGATTAAAAGGTCCGCCGGGCCGTAGTTTGCCCATTGCTGATATAGATACTGTAATTTATGCCTTTTTTTTCTATACAGCGCTGCACTAATTCAAATGACAATTGCAAGGTCATGCAATGCTGCACCCAAACGAAATTTACGTCCTTTTTTTCACACAAATAGAGCTTTCTTTTGGTGGTAATTTATCACCTGTGCGCTTTTTATTTTTTGCGCTATAAACAAAAAAACAATATTTTCTACTTTCAGCTACAAAAAATATATCGTAAACTTAAAGTTAGTCATAAATTTAAGCCAAAATGTATTCTGCTCCATGTTTTTGGTAAAAAAAAATCCTGTGCATTAGCGGGCAAACTGGCACTATCTGGGAGGGGCGCTAACACTATCGCAAGTCACCAGTGACACTAATCAGTAAAAATCTGTTCACTGTAATCAATGACACTGGTGACAGGGCAGTGAAAGGGTTAACTGGGGGTGGGGGGCGATCAAGGGGTTAAATGGGATTACTGGTGTACTGGTGGGCAAACTGGCGCTATCTGGGAGGGGCGCTAACACTATCGGAAGTCACCAGTGACATTAATCAGTAAAAATCTGTTCACTGATCAATGACACTGTCGACAGGGCAGTGAAGGGGTTAACTCGGGGGGGCGATCAAGGGGTTAAACGGTATTACTGGTGTATTAGCGGGCAATCTGGCGCTATCTGAGAGGGGCGCTAACACTATCGGAAGTCGCCAGTGACACTGATACAGTGATCAGTGCTTTTACATGATGGGAAAATCTGTAGCCCAGGTAACCCCAAGAAATGGAATAATAATTCTTACCTTTCTGCCATATATAACTTCTGAGTAGCCAGGTCCATGCCAGTGGAAGGGAACACCCGTTCCTGAACCTGGAGAAGAAGAGACAACAATGGTTAGGTTGCTCAATGATGGGATGTCTAAGAGATGGTCGAAGGACTTGATAACACGAAGAATGAAGAACTTTGCGCCTGTGTATCATTGTCCTGAGACCTCAACTGTAGGCATGTCATTGTTCTAGACACTGACTGTATGTCATTGGGTGATTGTTTTGGGATACAGACTGTTGGTATGCCATTGTTTCAGGACCTCAACTGTCACTGTGTATGGTTCTCAGACCTTGACTGTCATTCTGCCACTGTCCTAGAACATCACTTGTGTCATTGTTACAGGACTCCAAACAATGGTGTGTCATTGTTATTGACCCCAACTGTCCTTGTGCCATTGTTCAAAGACCATGACTGGTGGTGTTTCCTTCTAGGAAATCAACAGCCACTGTTAAAAGAAATTTGGACGGATATCACTGGAACCTTTTTCTTGATGTCATAGGAGTATTTGACTATGATGTCTGGATTCTTAGGGCTTGCAGCTTCTCCATGCCATTGGTCTTCCAATGTCTCCCTGGTTTATAACAGTGGGAATATGAGATGGAAGCACAACGCCAAAATGTAATCATCCAGACTCATTTCAGGAGTCAAAAAGAACTCCCTTGTTCAGGACCAAAAAGATACAAGAGAATTCAAAATGATGTAAGAATAAGTAAAATATATATAGAGAGACTGTATATCTATTTTACTTGTTCATACATAATTTTGTATTCTGTTGTATAATTTTGTAGCCCTAATGAAGGGAGTGCGCTTTAACCCCTAGAACATGTTGGCTTTGTGATAAACATGATCTTATTTTACATTAGAATGTGCCTGGATGAATACATTTTGTTGTGGTGCTTCAATCTCAGTTTCCAAGTGTTTACTGTGTCATTGTTCTGGGACTTCAACTGTAAGTACCAATATTTTGTAAGACCAAGTATCATAGTCCTTGCTACATTACCCAAAATGTCAATATGCCATTGCCCTACGACCCCAACTGTCAACGTGTCATTGGCCTACGACCCCAACTGTCAACGTTTCCTTGCCCTACGACTCCAACTGTCAACGTGTCATTGGCCTACGACCCCAACTGTCAATGTGTTATTGGCCTACAACCCAAACTGTCAATGTGTCATTGGTCTACGACACAAATTGTCAATGTGTCATTGGTCTAAGACCCCAACTGTCAACGTGTCATTGGTCTACGACCCCAACTGTCAATGTGACATTGGTCTAAGACCCCAACTGTCAACGTGTCATTGGTCTACGACCCCAACTGTCAATGTGACATTGGCCTACAACTCCAACTGTCAACGTATCATTGGTCTACGACCCCAACTGTCAATGTGTTATTGGCCTACAACCCAAACTGTCAATGTGTCATTGGTCTAAGACAGGGGTCGGCAAGCCGCGGCTCGCGAGCCACATGCGGCTCTTTATAAACTTTAATGCGGCTCTTCTGTGTGCCGGGCGCCCCGCTCCCCTCCCTCCTCTCGGGCGGCCGCCCCAAAAGTCAGGACTCTGCAGCTAGCCCAGCAATGGGCAAACTACGGCCCGGCGGACCTTTTAATCCGGCCCGCGGACCGTGGCAAACATTGGCTGTCAGGATGTCAGCGGGGCAGCGTGACAAACTCCTCTCCTCTCACAGTCCGCCCTGAAGACCGGAACGGCGCGGGAACACGGCGAGAGGAACGCGCGGAGCAAAGGTAAGTGAATTGACACTATAGGGGGGATGAATTACTATATGGGGGATGAATTACTATATGAGGGATGAATTACTATGGGGGATGAATTACTATATGGGGGATGAATTACTATATGGGGGATTAATTACTATGGGGGATGAATTACTATATAGGGGATGAATTACTATAGGGGGGATGAATTACTATGGGGGGATGAATTACTATAGGGGGGATGAATTACTATATGGGGGATGAATTACTATAGGGGGGATGAATTACTATGGGGAATGAATTACTATATGGGGGATGAATTACTATGGGGGATGAATTACTATATGGGGGATGAATTACTATGGGGGATGAATTACTATAGGGGGGATGAATTACTATGGGGGATGAATTACTATATGGGGGATGAATTACTATATGGGGGATGAATTACTATGGGGGATGAATTACTATATGGGGGATGAATTACTATATGGGGGATGAATTACTATGGGGGATGAATTACTATATGGGGGATTAATTACTATGGAGGATGAATTACTATATGGGGGATGAATTACTATGGGGGATGAATTACTATATGGGGGATGAATTACTATGGGGGATGAATTACTATGGGGGATGAATTACTATATGGGGGATGTATTTTCAGTTTTAAAAATGTGGCTCTCAAAATAAATTTCAATCGTGGTTTTGGCGAGATTTGGCTCAGTTGAAAAAAAAAAAAAAGGTTGCCCACCACTGGTCTAAGACCCCAACTGTCAATGTGTCATTGGTCTAAGACCCCAACTGTCAATGTGTTATTGGTCTACGACCCCAACTGTCAATGTGCATTGGCATACAACTCCAACTGTCACTATGTCATTGGTCTACAACCCCAACTGTCAATGTGTTATTGGTCTACAACCCCAACTGTCAATGTGACATTGGTCTACGACTCCAACTGTCAATGTGTCATTGATCTACAACTTCAACTATCAATGTGTCTATGGTCTATGACACAAACTCTCAATGTGTCATTGGTTTACGACCTCAACTCTCAATGCATCCTTCTTCTAGGACCCCAACTGTCAATGTGTCATTCACATGCAACCCCAGCTGTCAATGTGTTATTGGTCTACAATCCCAAATGTCAGTATCTTATTGTTTTAGAATTGTTCTGGGATCCATACCAATGTGTTTTTGAACTCTTGAGTCAGATTGTTACACTTTTGATTCTATACTCGTCTTTGTGGCTTTATTCTGTAGTACTAAAGTGTCAAAATGTTGTTGTTTTGGATCCTGAAATGCAGGAACATTGTTCCAGTCCTCAAGGATGTTGCTCTTTATAAGTACACATCTCTAAGATATATGGAATATAAGCCTACATATTTGAATCCAGATCAACAGAGTTTTAAATTGGTCTAAAATCTTTTCAATTCTTATTCAACACTTACCAGCTACACCAAAACTATATGCCCCGGTAGTGCCTGGCAGCTTGAACGGCGGTGGGATATACTTCCGAAACAGAGATCCCCACTCAGTGAAATTATTATCCCCAAAGAAATACAAAGTATCTGCAAGAAAAACAGGGGAAAGATTATAGTTCATACATTGAGAACACATATCTCCATTGCCAAGCGACACGCATCTCTGAACTCAATAAGAATGGGAAATACAGTTTTGAAAGATTTCAGCAATGGCACTGAAATGGATCTCATTCTAGAGAAAAAGATTAGGTAAAGATCTACAGTAAACTATCCCCCTCTATGTAATGTAGACCTAAAAGAAATTTCTCTATCTCTGCAAAACTGTTTTACTTCTGCTCCCATTCCAGCCAGTGAAATTTGATTGATTGGTGAAGACCTCATCACGCCATTTCAGATACACGGTGGTGCATTTGGCAACACATGCAAATGAACAGGTGGACTTGATGCAAAGTACTTTAAAGCGCGGACATAAAGTGCCTACGTTAAGCATACTGCATCTGAACACCCTGGTGTGAACAGGCCCTTGGGGTTACAACATTGTACATCACCATTGCTCTGCTAAATTAAAATTAATGCTAAAGAAATTGCAACTCACCACATCCTAGTGTCTCCACATCCTGCGGTCTCAGCAAATGCTCCACATACTCCTGAAATGGGACATCCACTGCAGCAAAAACAAGGAAGACAAGATGGTGAACAGGGGACATGAGTATGTGCAACACTTAAATATTCCTTCAGTGAAGTGGCGAGCGAGTGACCAGATATAATTATTACACCACATCCCTTAAAATTGCAAATATTCAATAGAGAAGATGGGACTTTCAGGGTGCATAGACATGAATACCACACGTTAAAAGTTATCTCCTAGCTCTGTAAGCTTTCACATCCAAGACTGCCTTGGCGGTAGAAATTTCCTCAAAAAATCTCCCCTGAAGAAGCCCATGAGAGCAAAACATATAGGGAGTAACTACATTTACCTACCCAAGTTTGAATCTCAGTTGGTATTCTTAGAATTGAAATTGTTTTTTTTTTTCTGTATTTTTTCCTTGTGTTTTTTACCAAAATACGAAATAAAATGATATAACTTTTAATGTGTGGTATTCATGTCTATGCACCCTGAAAGTCCCATCTTCTCTATTGAATATTTTAAATATTCCTTCACTTTGCAAGCAGGTGAGTTGTCTCTTGACAAGTAAAAGAAAACTCCCAGCCAACTTGCCAGCCAGCTTGCCAACAACCAAATTAACCTGTCTAACAATATGCGTTAAAAACAGGGGTTTAGTTAGCACACATTTGCAAATACATACGTAAGCTACAGAGCCACGTCACGGCACCCCGACATATTATTAGACAGGTTAATTTGGTTGTTGGCAAGCTGGCTGGGTACTTTATTTTTCTTGACATGCGTTGCCCGTCCATGTGCTCCTTCTGCTAAAGCCAGTTATAGACTGGGGCAGTGGCCATTTTTTGTACTGTTGAATTGTAGGTGAGGAGGTGCACTGGACACCTTGGCTGCCATTGTACTACATGCTGGTGTTCGGTGCGCTCCTGTACCTTTAAGAAGGGGTGGGATCCCTCAGGTCCACCTGCCCTTGATCTATCCATTAAATGCATGTGCCTCTACTATGGGGGCTCTCAAAATGTGCAGAGTTAGGACCACAGAACGTTGGGGTGCCATGACGTGGCTCTGTTGCTTACATATGTATTTGCAAATGTGTGCTAACCAAACCCCTGTTTTTAACGCATACTGTTAGACGGGTAAATTTGGTTGTTGGCAAGCTGGCTGGCAAGTTGAGCTGGGTAATTTTTTCTTGACATGCATTTCCCGTCCATGTGCTCCTTGCTGCTAAAGCCAGTTATAGACTGGGGCAGTGGCCATTTTTTGTAGAGTTGTCTCTTGAAGCAGGTGAACATCGTTCATTGGTACCCATGTTCATGGTGCAGTTGTCATTCCAAGTCCATTCAGAATTCATGTTTTTGTGAATGCACCAGTAAGTACAATCATATTCCCCTTACAAATAACTCAAGTACCGCAATATTTTTATTATTGTGTTTATCTCTCCCACAAAGCCACAATGAAGGAGTAACTCTCGCGCAGCAAGACACCCCTGCATTGTGAAGGATCCACCTGGGTTGCTTGACACCAACTTTGGAGGACCTGGGCATTATAGTTAGGGTATTCTGAATTGGAGCATTTTCATATAATATACGAGATGGTATCAAAAAGTTTCAAGCCTAGTTTTGTAACACGCCAACAGATAGCAGCACAAGGCTGCACACACAATCACAGGGAGAACTGACCTTCATAAGTCAGTGTACCAAAAGACCTCATCCTGTGTACATCGGGAGCTGTGCAACTGGTGTTATTCTGACCATGTGTGTTGCCACATCTGCTATTTCATCATGGACAGCAAGTTAGAACAAAGAGCGAACATGAAATTTTGCTTGAAATTGGGCAAATCTGACACAGATACGTTTGATATGATCCCGCACGTTTATGGTGACGCTGCAGTGAGTTGTTCGAGGTGGCCCAGTCCCCAGACTGCTGACCCAGGAGCAGAAGAAGTCTGCCAAGAACTTTGTCAGCATACCGTCCTTCATGTCATGGATCCTTACTGGTGACAAAACTCGGGTGTACAGGCAACGCGTTGTTTCTTCTGCTCCTGGGTCAGCAGCCTGGGGACTGGGGACCTGACCACTTAAAACCCCCCCATACAACTTACTGCAGCATTGTCATAAACTTGCCGAATCATGTCAAACGTCTTTGTGGCAGATTCGCCCAGTTTCATAGCAGACATGGTAACGCACGTAGTCAGAATAACACCAGTTGTATAGCTTTTAATGTACACAGGACATTGTTTTTTGGCACACTGACTTATGAAGGTTGGTGCTCCCTGTGACAAATCTAGTCTTGAAAGCTTTTGATCCTACCTTGTATAAAACATACAGAATGGCACCCTTCTCTATGTATACCAAGACAGGTAGACTTTTGGAAAGACTCACCTTTCTCATAGGAATAAGTGTTGGCTGTACTCAGGCGGACTAGGTGTTCTCCATAGGTTCTGAGAAGGTGATCCTTCCTGCACAAAGTCCGAAACTCCTGGGAGAGAATGACGGAAAAAGAATGAAATGAATGGCACCGAGATTTAAGCAGGAATATATAACTGGACTCACAAATCACCACTTACTGAGTTATCTGTGATTCCCTGCAGAATGACCGGCCTCCTGTAGGCATATCTGTCATGGAGAGAGATATTAGAGGGTCAGTCCATGGAGAGAGATATCAGAGGGTCAGTCCATGGAGAGAGATATCAGAGGGTCAGTCCATGGAGAGAGATATCAGAGGGTCAGTCCATGGAGAGAGATATCAGAGGGTCAGTCCATGGAGAGAGATATCAGAGGGTCAGTCCATGGAGAGAGATATCAGAGGGTCAGTCCATGGAGAGAGATATCAGAGGGTCAGTCCATGGAGAGAGATATCAGAGGGTCAGTCCATGGAGAGAGATATCAGAGGGTCAGTCCATGGAGAGAGATATCAGAGGGTCAGTCCATGGAGAGAGATATCAGAGGGTCAGTCCATGGAGAGAGATATCAGAGGGTCAGTCCATGGAGAGAGATATCAGAGGGTCAGTCCATGGAGAGAGATATCAGAGGGTCAGTCCATGGAGAGAGATATTAGAGGGTCAGTCCATGGAGAGAGATATCAGAGGGTCAGTCCATGGAGAGAGATATAAGAGGGTCAGTCCATGGAGAGAGATATCAGAGGGTCAGTCCATGGAGAGAGATATCAGAGGGTCAGTCCATGGAGAGAGATATCAGAGGGTCAGTCCATGGAGAGAGATATCAGAGGGTCAGTCCATGGAGAGAGATATTAGAGGGTCAGTCCATGCAGAGAGATATCAGAGGGTCAGTCCATGGAGAGAGATATTAGAGGGTCAGTCCATGGAGAGAGATATTAGAGGGTCAGTCCATGGAGAGAGATATTAAAGGGTCAGTCCATGGAGAAAGATATCAGAGGGTCAGTCCATGGAGAGAGATATCAGAGGGTCAGTCCATGGAGAGAGATATCAGAGGGTCAGTCCATGGAGAGAGATTTCAGAGGGTTAATCCATGGAGAGAGATATCAGAGGGTCAGTCCATGGAGAGAGATATTAGAGGGTCAGTCCATGCAGAGAGATATCAGAGGGTCAGTCCATGGAGAGAGATATTAGAGGGTCAGTCCATGGAGAGAGATATTAGAGGGTCAGTCCATGGAGAGAGATATTAGAGGGTCAGTCCATGGAGAGAGATATTAGAGGGTCAGTCCATGGAGAGAGATATCAGAGCGTCAGTCCATGGAGAGAGATATTAGAGCGTCAGTCCATGGAGAGAGATATTAGAGCGTCAGTCCATGGAGAGAGATATTAGAGGGTCAGTCCATGGAGAGAGATATTAGAGGGTCAGTCCATGGAGAGAGATATTAGAGGGTCAGTCCACGGAGAGAGATATTAGAGGGTCAGTCCATGGAGAGAGATATTAGAGGGTCAGTCCACGGAGAGAGATATCAGAGGGTCAGTCCATGGAGAGAGATATTAGAGGGTCAGTCCATGCAGAGAGATATCAGAGGGTCAGTCCATGGAGAGAGATATCAGAGGGTCAGTCCATGGAGAGAGATATCAGAGGGTCAGTCCATGGAGAGAGATATCAGAGGGTCAGTCCATGGAGAGAGATATCAGAGGGTCAGTCCATGGAGAGAGATATCAGAGGGTCAGTCCATGGAGAGAGATATCAGAGGGTCAGTCCATGGAGAGAGATATAAGAGGGTCAGTCCATGGAGAGAGATATCAGAGGGTCAGTCCATGGAGAGAGATATCAGAGGGTCAGTTCATGGAGAGAGATATCAGAGGGTCAGTCCATGGAGAGAGATATCAGAGGGTCAGTCCATGGAGAGAGATATTAGAGGGTCAGTCCATGCAGAGAGATATCAGAGGGTCAGTCCATGGAGAGAGATATTAGAGGGTCAGTCCATGGAGAGAGATATTAGAGGGTCAGTCCATGGAGAGAGATATTAAAGGGTCAGTCCATGGAGAAAGATATCAGAGGGTCAGTCCATGGAGAGAGATATCAGAGGGTCAGTCCATGGAGAGAGATATCAGAGGGTCAGTCCATGGAGAGAGATTTCAGAGGGTTAATCCATGGAGAGAGATATCAGAGGGTCAGTCCATGGAGAGAGATATTAGAGGGTCAGTCCATGCAGAGAGATATCAGAGGGTCAGTCCATGGAGAGAGATATTAGAGGGTCAGTCCATGGAGAGAGATATTAGAGGGTCAGTCCATGGAGAGAGATATTAGAGGGTCAGTCCATGGAGAGAGATATTAGAGGGTCAGTCCATGGAGAGAGATATCAGAGCGTCAGTCCATGGAGAGAGATATTAGAGCGTCAGTCCATGGAGAGAGATATTAGAGGGTCAGTCCATGGAGAGAGATATTAGAGGGTCAGTCCATGGAGAGAGATATTAGAGGGTCAGTCCATGGAGAGAGATATTAGAGGGTCAGTCCACGGAGAGAGATATTAGAGGGTCAGTCCATGGAGAGAGATATTAGAGGGTCAGTCCACGGAGAGAGATATCAGAGGGTCAGTCCATGGAGAGAGATATTAGAGGGTCAGTCCATGCAGAGAGATATCAGAGGGTCAGTCCATGGAGAGAGATATCAGAGGGTCAGTCCATGGAGAGAGATATCAGAGGGTCAGTCCATGGAGAGAGATATCAGAGGGTCAGTCCATGGAGAGAGATATTAGAGGGTCAGTCCATGCAGAGAGATATCAGAGGGTCAGTCCATGGAGAGAGATATTAGAGGGTCAGTCCATGGAGAGAGATATTAGAGGGTCAGTCCATGGAGAGAGATATTAAAGGGTCAGTCCATGGAGAAAGATATCAGAGGGTCAGTCCATGGAGAGAGATATCAGAGGGTCAGTCCATGGAGAGAGATATCAGAGGGTCAGTCCATGGAGAGAGATTTCAGAGGGTTAATCCATGGAGAGAGATATCAGAGGGTCAGTCCATGGAGAGAGATATTAGAGGGTCAGTCCATGCAGAGAGATATCAGAGGGTCAGTCCATGGAGAGAGATATTAGAGGGTCAGTCCATGGAGAGAGATATTAGAGGGTCAGTCCATGGAGAGAGATATTAGAGGGTCAGTCCATGGAGAGAGATATATAGAGGGTCAGTCCATGGAGAGAGATATCAGAGCGTCAGTCCATGGAGAGAGATATTAGAGCGTCAGTCCATGGAGAGAGATATTAGAGGGTCAGTCCATGGAGAGAGATATTAGAGGGTCAGTCCATGGAGAGAGATATTAGAGGGTCAGTCCATGGAGAGAGATATTAGAGGGTCAGTCCATGGAGAGAGATATTAGAGGGTCAGTCCATGGAGAGAGATATTAGAGGGTCAGTCCATGCAGAGAGATATTAGAGGGTCAGTCCATGGAGAGAGATATCAGAGGGTCAGTCCATGGAGAGAGATATCAGAGGGTCAGTCCATGGAGAGAGATATCAGAGGGTCAGTCCATGGAGAGAGATATTAGAGGGTCAGTCCACCCGAGCCCGATCTAATCCACAATCACACCAGTCCCCAACATCAAATGGCTCATCACTAGGGCCGTAAAGCTGATATCTTTCATGGGCAAAATACAACAGGCAAAACAATTTGCGTAAAAATTCTAGAGCAGAGTACAACTGTCCCAGATTCAGAGCATCCGGCGTAGTAAAGGATCATTTTGCAGTGGTCTGATCATTTTAATGCAGGGGTCTCCAAACTGATTTACTCCCACTGATGGCGGAAAAAAAATTCCTGTTCCTACTGGCCACATTCCAGCCCCCCTAAAGTCTGAAGGACAATAAACTGGGAGTAAAAAGTGTCCCATCTTTGGTTTTAGTGAGCGGAAGAGTGTCCCATCGTTTATGTCAGTGGCAGGAATGATGCCCCATTGTTGGTGTCAGTGGGCAGAACAATGTCTTGTAACAGTTGGAGGCAAAGTGCCCCAAGGGCCAGATAAAGGCAAGCAAAGGGCCACATTTGGCCCCTGGGCCCGCAGTTTGGAGACCACTGATTTAAAGGGATGGAGTTGTACTGCAAGCCATTGATATATTTCTTCATGTCATAGTCTGTTAGTCTGTACACTGGATGCCCCCCCCCCCCCCCGGACTCACTGTTCAATAAACTCAGCGTAGGTGATGGAGCCGTCTCTTCTCTCCACCGAACAGCTCTCCTCCTCCTGTACTGGGGAGTAGTTGTTCTTCATCCTGCCAATGGAGTTAAACAAAAAACAAATGCTGTAATATGTAGCATGAGTATTGCCATTTTAAAGCCCAAGTGAACGTTCAGTTTAAATAAGCTAAATACATTCCAGAGGCATCATATTGTAGAAAAGCTGCTTTCTGTGGGGGAAGCAGTGGTCTCTCTGCAGAGGTCAGGCACAACCCCTACTGAGTCAGAGCTCTGCACTCAGGATAAGGCAGGAGCCTTGCTAGTTGAAGAGATCCGGCTCTCATTAATCATCTCCGGACCGTCTGCCCGCAATGTACTGCAGATGAGCGGTCCATACAGGCAAAGCGGTGTGCTGGTATGTAGCTGCCTGCCTCTGTGATTAGGGAGGGAGGCTGTCAGCAGGTCCCAGCCAATCATTCATGGCCGGGACCTGCTGATCGGCTGAGTCCAATCACAGCCCAGAGCCCTGAGTTGTCAGGGGAAAGGATTTCCTACCCAGGCTGTGGCTGCTTTAGGACGAGGGACTATAAGACCTTGTACGCTTTTTGTTTTGTAGCACCTGGAATATATTTAACTGATTCAAACTCAGTCCAATTAGGCTGTAAAGTCGTTTTAAACCCGAGCTGGATGGCGTTTCCTTTGCTAAAGCTCGGCACTCCACAAACTGTTGGGATTTTTTCCGATAGAAGTCTGATTTTATCCTTTGTTGTATTTTAGTGCTTCTGACCTCCTCCATCCTCTTTCAGCTCCTTCCTGACTACATGCACTTGTTTCTGCATTGGATGCACAGCAATGCTTTACACCGGCAAAGCTGCTTGTAGTTGATATGACATGAGGCAGGGTGACAAGGTAAGTGCACAGTTGTCACCACATAACAGGAAATGCCTGAGAAGAAACCTTCATGGCAGGATCACCAGATATTTTAATGGAAGTTTCAGATTTGATTGAAAAGAAATTTCAAACTGACATTCACATGATCAATCCTCTATGGGACAACTGCTGCAAAAGTGACTGCAGAGCTCAATCTCAGTCCCGTGAAGAATGAGTACCGTGAAGAATGAGTCCCGCGAAGAACTAGTCCCGTGAAAAACGAGTCCCGTGAAGAACAGGTCCCGTGAAGAACGGGTCCCGTGAAGAACGAGTCCAGTGAAGAACGAGTCCCGTGAAGAACTAGTCCCGTGAAGAACTAGTCCCGTGAAGAAAAAGTCCTGTGAAGAACTAGTCCCGTGAAGAAAAAGTCCTGTGAAGAAAGAGTCTCGTGAAGACCAAGTCCCGTGAAGAAAGAGTCCCATGAGGAATGAGTTCCGTGAAGACCGAGTCCTGTGAAAAAGGAGTCCCATGAAGAACTAGTCCCGTGAAGAATGAGTCCAGTGAAGAACGAGTTCCGTGAAGAAAAAGTCCCGTGAAGAAAAAGTCCCGTGAAGAACGAGTCCCGTGAAGAAAGAGTCCCATGAGGAATGAGCCCCGTGAAGACCGAGTCTTGTGAAAAAGGAATCCCATGAAGAACGAGTCCCGTGAACAACTGGTCCCGTGAAGAACGAGTCCCGTGAAGAAAGAGTCCCGTGAAGAAAGAGTCCCGTGAAGAAAGAGTCCCGTGAAGAACTGGTCCCGTGAAGAACTGGTCCCGTGAAGAACGAGTCCCGTGAAGAACGAGTCCCATGAAGAACGAGTCCTGTGAAGAAAGAGTCCCGTGAAGAACGAGTCCCGTGAAGACTGAGGCTGAGCTCTTCTGTCACTTTTGCAGCAGTTGTTTTCTTATTCCCAGGTCACAATCCTGCGCAAGGTCCTTTTGTCTCTTTCGGTCAGTTGACCGCACCTATGATGATCAAACTGTGTTTACTATGCTTCATTTCATGAATGGGCAGGAAGCTCTGTACAGAACTGTTCCTGTCCATTCTTTATGTGCAGCTGAGGCTGCAGAGATAGAGATTAAGGGCTGTGTCTCAAAGGTAAAACATCAGAGGTCTGGTTAGACCCCTGATATCTCACCAAGGCCCCCTAATGGAGCTCCTAAAAATATTTCTAGAAAATAATAAAAAAAAATCATAAAAAAATAAAATGGTAAAAAAGAATTAAAAAAATTAAATAACTACTGACACCAGTGGGGGAACTACCAGGGTTGCAAAGGTTGCACTCAGTGGTGTATTTAGGTTTTATGCTGCCCTAGGCAACACAACAATCGGATGCCCCCCTCCCCCACAGGGAGAGCCTTACACCAACCAACACCACCCCCCTTTCCTGCTGCCCCCCTGAAAAATTCCGCCCTAGGCAAATGCGTTGTTTGTGGTAAACACACCACTGGTCGCACTCACAACCGGGCCCTGGCTTTTTGCCACTGGGCTCAAAGGGAAGGACCCCCAGGCTTAGGGCTGCTCAGTCTAAAATGCCCAGGCTTATGTTTCGTCCCAGTCCAGGCCTGCTAGCAGCGTACACAGTGAATGAGGAAAGTGAGGCTTCCCACCTCTTAGTTAGGTGTCTCATCACACAGCGGAAGCGAAAGAACGTTACATCACTTCCTCTTTCAACACGAAGCATTTCGTCACTTTCACATCTGCAAATCATGAAGTGTTTCCATATTTTTGTCTAACCCCTGTACCCCCCCTCCCCCCAACATACATATATGCTGTACTTCCTGAATTGCTCACAGCACCCCACCCCACCAAATTGCCTCTTCTGCTTTCTAATTTATACTGGAAGGTGATGGCTGGAGTGTGATTGGCTGCTGGGGCAATGCAGACAGCTCTTCTTGATGTGATAACACGTGCCATTCTATTGCTGTCAGACCTACCAACCGCCATCGTTCTCTGCGTATTCTGTCTGCTCATTCAGCGCCAGCGCCAGCGCCAAGAGTAGTTGGAGGAGAAGAAAAATGGTCACAAGTGCCATGTCAGCTCTAGAAATCCACTGTTTGGTCGTTCAACCCAGAGCTGGACAAGTACATTGACAATGGTGGTAAATTGTAGTCCGATTCTTAGCAAAATCCTACAATAAAGAAGAGAGAAGGAGAAATCAGCCAAAGGAAGTCACTGGATCCCACCATTCTATGGCCGTCATCACCAGGGCCATCTTTAAAAGAGAAGTATGGGATCTAAAAAAAAAAATGCAGCATCGGCCCCGTGCCGGCTCTAAGGGTGAGAACTCAGCAATCGCACGACCGCTGAACGCTGAGTTCTCAAAGCCGCTGTGAATGGAGGGGGAGGGAGCAGCTGGCTTAGGTGAGAGGCTGAGCCAGGTGCCGTTCCAGACTCTGGGGTGGATCCTGACTTTGAAGTCGGGATCTTTCCCCAGCCTGGATCGGCTAAGTGGCGTCAGTCAACAGTGGGCTTCAGCCAGCTGTCAGCTGAAAACGAATCACAATAATGCAGAACGGACTGTACTCCTGTGATCCACTGAAGTACAGCCAAAGCTGTACTTGTCCTTCAATATTGATTGGACCCTTCGCAAACATTTTCTTGCCCTCCCCCCGCAATTTCGCTCTTGACTCTGCTCTGAGACATGCAATCAGACTCAAAATCAGTTTATTTCAGCAAATCAGGCAGCGATTGTGGATGGTTAGAAGGAGTTACAGCACATCATTACCGCTCGTTGACTGGTTGCAAGAAGTTACTTCACATCATTACTGCACTCTGATTGGTTTCTAGAAGTTACTGCACATCATTTCTGCTCACTGATCGGTTGCGAGAAGTTACTGCACATCATTTCTGCTCACTGATTTGTTGCTAGAGGTTACTGCACATCATTACTGCTCACTGGTTGGTTGCTAGAGGTTACTGCACATCATTATTCATCACCGATTGGTTGCTAGAAGTTACTGCACATCGTTTCTGCTCACTGATTGGTTGCTAGAGGTTACTGCACATCATTACTGCTCACTGATTGGTCGCTAGAAGTTACTGCACATCGTTTCTGCTCACTGATTGGTGTCTAGAGGTTACTGCACATCCTTGCCACTGACTGATTTGTTGCTAGAGGTTACTGCACATCTTTAGTGCTCAATGAGTGGTTGCTAGAGCTTACTGCAGATGCTTACCACTCACTGATTGGTTGCTAAACGTTCCTGCACATCATTACTGCTAATTGGTCGATAAAGGTTACAGCAAATCATTACTGTTCACTGATTGGTTGCTAGAGGTTATTGCACATAATTTCTGCTCTCTGATTGGTTGCTAGAGGTTACTGCACATCATTACCACTCACTGATTGGTTGCTAGTGGTGAACATGGCAACCTCACTATGGAGGGGCTCCTTGACTGAATGTGGCAATTTCCCTGTAGAGGGGCCCCTGGACTGAAGGTGTCAATCTCTTTATGAAGGAGCCCCTGGACTAGAAATGTCAATTTCTTTTTGATGGGGCTGCTGAACTGGAGGTAGCAGTCTTTTTGGAGACCCTACATAGAGACACTGCTATCTCCAATCCAAGGGCCCCTCCACAGAAAGACAGCTACTTCAGGTCCAGGGGCCCCTCCTATTGTAGGGTGACATTGGAATGGAAAACCCCTGGAATAATAAATCAGTACAGAGTAAGGAGAGAGGAAGAGGACAGATTAGGTCAGTGGGCTGCCCTATGTGTGAGAAACATGTAAAATAAGTTCCTGGTTCCTTTTCGAAAATTGTGTTGAAAGTGCAAGGTGCTGCGGCACCATGTTTTGTATACATGAAGATCTGCACGTTACCAGTGGGAATTAATGGCATCGCCAATGTGTCTGCTAAAGGGCAGTGCATTTCTGTGCGTGTTGGAAAAATACATAATTCTGCATACGTTCCCAGCATGCTCAAATCAGAATGTAGGCTGAGGGCTAGTGTACAGGGACATATGTGTACATGGCACATGGAAGGCGGAGAGCTCCCTCCCACATGGTTACCTATCAGCACAATCTCCTGCAGAGACACAATGACTGCCAATATCGTATGTCCAATTTCCGTCATTTCAACGCTGACAAAGTGACAGAACGCCGCGTGTGACAAGACCCCTTATTGACTTAAAAGGAAACATTTGCTTATTATGTTAATATATTTACTTCCCGGAAAATACGTTCAGCTGAGGTCCACAGCCAACATCCGACAAAACTTCAAGTGCAACTCCACCCAAAACGCTTTCATTTAGATATAGCTGAGAAGGATTAGGGCCCGTGTACACAGATCTATACTGATCAGCCATAACATTATGACCACCCACCATAACCCGTCGAGGCATGGACTCTACCAGAGGTGGACTGACAACTCATGGGGCCCCCGGGCAATACGGGGTCATGGGGCCCCTGTGTCCTTGCCCAAACTCAAAAAAGCCTATGAAAAAGGTACCAGGGGCATCTCATGGGGCCCCTTACTGACCCCGGGCCCTCAAGCAGTGCTCGAGTTTCCAAATGGTCAGTCCGCCCCTGGACTCTACTAGACCTCTGAAGGTATGCTGTGGTATCTGGACCAAGCCATTAGTAGCTGGTCCTTTAAGCCCAGTAATTTGATAGGGGGGCTTATATGGATTAGAATTGTTTTTCCCATGGATGCTGGATTGTGTGGATGTTCGATTGTATGGAGAATTAGGAGGCCAAGCCAACACCTCAAACTCCTCCTTGTGTTCCCCAAACTATTCTTAAATTCATCAGACCAGGCCACCTTCTTCCATTGCTCCCTGGTCCAGTTCTGATGCTCATGTGCCCATTGTAGGTGTTTTGGCTATGGACACGGGTCAACATGGGCACCCTGACCGGTGTGCAGCTACACAGCCCCATACACAACAAACTGCGATGCTCTGGGTGTTCTGACAGCTATCTATCAGAACCAGTTTCAAGTTCTTCAGCAATTTGAGCTCCAGTGGTTCTTATACTGGATCGGACTACATAGGTCAGCTGTCGCTCCCCACAGGCATCAATGAGCCTTGGCTGCCCATGCCTCGCCACTGGTTTGCTGGACTTCCTTCCTTGGACCACTTTTGGTCGGTTCTGACCAGGGGTGGACTGACCATTTGGAAACTCAGGCACTGCCCAAGGGCCCGGGGTCAGTAGGGGGCCCCGTGAGATGCCCCTGGTACCTTTTTCATAGGCTTTTTTTGAGTTTGGGCAAGGACACAGGGGACCCATGATCCCCTATTGCTCGGGGGCCCCATGAGTTATCGGTCTGCCCCTGGTTCTGACCACTGCAGACCAGGAACATCCTACAAGAGCCGTAGTTCTGGAGTTGCTCTGACCCAGCCATCCAATCATTACAATTCGGCCCTTGTCAAAGTCGCTCAAATCCTTACACATTCCATTTTGTCTACTTTCAACACATCAACTTCAGGGACAACATGTTTACTTGCTGCCTAATATATCCCACCCACTTTCAGGTGCCGTTGTCACGAGATAATCAATGTTATTCCCTCCACTTCTCAGTGGTCATAACGTTATGGCTGATATCTCAGCGGACTGCCCTACGCATGCCAAAGCAGCTCATGTACCTTTTTTGGGTGTTGAGGTTCGTGCATCTGCATTTGGGGTGCCATCAGGAATGAATGGCTCTGCAAGCGTGACATGCGTTTTCTGAACGCTCGTGTGGACCAGGCGCGGACTGACAACTCATGGGGCCCCCGGGCAATAGGGGATCATGGAGCCCCTGTGTCCTTGCCCAAACTCAAAAAAGCCTATGAAAAAGGTACCAGGGGCATCTCATGGGGCCCCTAGAGACCCCGGGCCCTCAGGCAGTGCCCGAGTTTCCAGATGGTCAGTCCGCCCCTGGTGTGGACGCAGCTTTAGGGGTACACGTATTAGGCAGCGAAGGCGACTTTTCACGGAACGTTCTCTGATGGGGAGTCAACTGGTCTCATTTAAAACTCAGGAAGAATCCCCTGCAGTGAATGTTTGGTGAATGTCCAGATTCACAGGATCCATGTGTGCAGTACACACGCTGAGCCGGGCGAGCTCGCCGCAGTGCTGTGATTGGCAGACTGACGCAAGCTTCCATTATGAGAATGCAGTGAGGTTCCCCTCCCCCTCTATACATGTGCTGGAGACGCAATCAGCGTTTTCTCATGATATGTTCTATACAGGATCCTATACTCACCATCCATATCCCTCTCCAGCCCAGCCATTCAGCAGCAGCCACACGTATCCCTGCACAATGCATGCTGGGAGTGGAGGCTCTACAGGCTACCCTGTGCACAGCACAGACCTGCAGGCAGCACCTAGAGGACTACGTTACCCAGAATGCCTCACTGCCTTCACTCTGACTGCTCTTTTAACCAGCTTTATTGCTGTAACCATTCTCTGAGAAGAGATACAATGTATCAATGAGCAACAGTCATACATTGGTTACAGTAAATCAATGGAAACTTTTTATTTATAAATGTAGCTACTATTTATTTATTTTTATTTATTATTTACAAAATAAAAGTTTAACATTTTAGAAATATTTAATGGGATTTAATCATTATTGAATATTTATTAAGCCCGGGTTCACTCTGATGCGGTGCGGAATTTGCAGCGTTTTCAGTGCGAATTCCACACCGCATCAGAATCGCACCCCGTACATGTGAACCGATGCAGGTGTGTATGTTAAGTTAACAACACCACGAAAGCGGTCAGCGAGGTGCAGAATCGGATCGCATAGATTTGAATACCCATGCGATCCGATTCTAGTGCAGACCCAAATAAAGGGTCCTGCACGTTTTTGGTGCAGATGCGGTGCGATTTGAGCCATACAAAATGTATGTCTCCAATCGCACCACACACAAATCGCATGTGATCTGCACCGGAATGCAGTGCGGTTCCTGTGCGAATCACATGCGATGTACCGCACTGCATATATGTGAATCCGGGCTTTTTCTAACTTGGATAGAGTGGAAGTGGATTAAAACACCCATTAGGTTTTTATAAGTGAAATGAAAATTCAAGACCAAAACCAAAAATTCAGGA